TTTTTTTTTTTTTTTGGTACCAGGGATTGAACTCAGGACCTTGCGCTTTCGAGGCAAGGACAGTGCCACTGAGCTAAATCCCCTGTGGCCTTTCATGTTCTTGAAAACCATAAGCAAGTATGTGTCAATCTCACTGCCTAACCCAAGTTTAAAAGATTAGTACATTTTTCCAATCTTTCTTCTTCCAATTTACCTTCACTTGATATAGTTGGAGAGAATAAATGTTTCTCCAAGGTGTACCAAAATTAGTCTGCCTACCTGCAGTATGCATTGTCCTCATTTTAACTGACAAAACTATACCTATTATGAGCTGAAGAGCAGATTGAAAGCTGAGGTAGTCTTCTGTACTCAAGGGTGGCTTTATTTAAGGAAGTAAGTGATTCTTTGTGCTCTTTTTTTAACCTGTAAAATGAGGACCTTTATAAAAACCTTTTTGACATCACGCAAAAAACCTGGTTTAATATAGAAACCAATTTGAGATAATTTAATAAAGAAAATGCTTTTAGAGGGCCGGGGATTTAGTTCAGTGGTTCTGTCTCCTGCCTTGCAAGTGGAAGGACCTGAGTTTGATCCCTGGTACCAAAAAAAAAAATGCTTTTAGAGACAGTATGTTTATATTAATTATAGTAGCCTTCATAGTAATAGTCCCAACCCTGATTTTTATTTATGAACTTCTTAAAGGCAGAACTATACAATATTTAAGTATTGAATATCTTAATGAAAATTTAAGAATACATAGAATATATATTCATATGATACATAGAAAATGAAAGTACTTTTGATGGCACAGAAAAATGCATTTTTCAAATTTGATTTAAAATTTTTTTTTGTATGGTGCTTCAACTTTATTTGAATAGATTCAAATTTTAAACAACACAAAAGAAAAACAATAGGGAGAGTCTTTTTCCCATTCCTGTGTCCCATCTACTCTGATCTCTAGAAGCAAAGTTAAAAGCTACATTTAATGGTATTCTGATATTCCATGTTATAATATAATTCTGTCTTTTTAAAAAATGATGTTGGAGGGGCTGGGGATTTAGCTCAGTAGTTTCACTGCCTGCTGCACAAGCGCAAGGAACCGAGTTTGATCCCCGGTACTGTGGGACTACATAACCTTTGTTCCTTTTTCTCCAGCCCCATTGTGATTAAAATGTGAGTTAATGGATGGAGATGCTTGTTAGTCTAGGGACGCTAGATAGGGATCTGTAACAGACCTAGAGTCCCAGATAGTCTAGGGACGCTAGATAGGGATCTGTAACAGACCTAGAGTCCCAGAGTAAACTACTCAACTCTCTGTTTACCCGGAACTGATATTCCAGGCACCACAATTGTTAGAACAAGCTGCAGATGTCTGCTGACCATCAATATGTGACAGTCGACCACTAACCTTTGTCCCTTTTTCTTTAATATGTTAACTTCCCCCTCAACCCCCTATAAAAACAGCCTCGGATTCTGAGCCAGTTGCCTCTCTAAGCTATTTTGCTTCGGGAGTGCAGTCTGGCCAGACTAATAAAGGTCTGTTTCCCAACTTGGCCGGTGTGTTCCTTCCCGGGTGTTTTTCTGCTGTAGTCAGCTCCTTGGAGCGTTTGGTAAGACTCCTGGTCTTACATTCTGAAGGCACCACTGCGATTCCTGGGTGTGCTTCACTATAGTCAGCTCCTCGGAGCGTTTGGTAAGGGCCCCGGTCTTACAGCACCAAAAAAAAAAAAAGGTGTTGGAAGACCTGAAGCCAGAAAAGGCCTATGAAAAACTACTTAGTACTTGGAAAAGGGCAAAATAACCCCACTCTTGTTAGATGTCAGATGTTTCAAGTTCATGATCTCCCAACATTGAGGAATGAAGTAAAAAACCAAAGAAGGAAGTTTGGAGAATTTTATTGGAAATAAGAAGAAGAAAAACTCCTGCACTTCCAGGAGGGGTCCCGAGTAGGTTGCTACCAAGGCTCTTTGTCATGGGTAATTTACCTTATTTCCAATAAGCAAAATCACAGCATGGTACAATGTGGGTCAAACTACAATCAACCTTTAGGATTATAAGTACAGCTGCTTAGCTGATATTGATCCAATAGGGCAATGAGTTGTGCAGCAAGGGTACCTGGAAAGAACAAAGGCATTTTTTGTAGGACTTGGTGGTACACTCCTGTAATCCTAGATTGGGGAGGCTGAGGCAGGAAGAATGCCACAAGTTTGAGGCAAGCTTGGGCTACATAGTGAGTTCAAGGCCAGGCTGTACTACCTACCCAGACACTGTCTCAAAAAAAACCAACAAAAAATAATTAATGCAACAAAACAAAACAAAAAAACCCCCAAAACAAACTAAAACAAAAACAATCGCCCCCCCCCCAAAACAAAAAGAACAAAGGCATTTTTGGAAAGGGAGGGGAGTATGAATCCAGATGTGTCTATGGCTATCTATGTGTCACCCATTTACGTGTCTGATGCTTATCTGGGCCCACTTGACCAGGTGGTGCTAATTATAGTATAATCTCAAATTGTTGTTTATCTCTAGGGAGGCAAAAGACCTCTGTCTCTTCAGATTTGCCTCCAAACACAACTCTGATATCTTTTTTTGTGCTGACTTCCTGGAAGGCCCAATCTCTCTCTGACTGCGTTTCTATCTAATTTAGCTGACTACAATAATAAGGCCAGAACCTGTGTCTCCTGCCATTTCAGTTCAGGACCTCGAAGTTTTTTGTTCTAAGCCACACTGACTTTGTAAACTGGCAAGTGTGGTTAATCCAATTGGTAATTTAAAATTCAAAGTAGTATGATTTAAGATTCGGACAAGGAAGAAGGCTGCTGACCAGAAGAGCGATAGGGGATAAGGTTTTTGGTTCATCAAAAAGAGGTAAGGGTTTTGAAAGAGACTGAATCATAAAGTCTGACTTGTTCTGAGCCCTGGGGATAGCGAGTGTCAGGCCCAGAGTGCTGATGTCAGCATCATAACGAGTCAGGCCTTAGGGCATTGGCTTTCAGACCTAGGGAGGCTCGAACCTCTCCTCGCGCGACCAGGACTTCGAGGCGGCGTTCGCCTTGGTCTCACCCATCCGGATCTCAACCCGGACACTGTGCAGAAGGAACGAGACCTCGCTTTCACCTCTGTAGTCCTCCGTAGCCCGCGGAGTGTGGTGCAAAGAAGAGGCGAGTGGGCGCCAGAATTAAGCACGCCTAGTGGAGCGAAAAGGGTCTCAGGATATTTGGGTCCAACAACCGGAGCTGATCAGGACCACTGGCCCTGGCCTTCGGTCCCTAGCTCTAAGGTCCACGTCCTCCGCTTCTGGGGCACAAGGCCAGCAGCAGGGGCCACAGCCAATCTTCTCTGCTAATCAGCCCAGTTGATATTAGCTCACTCAGCTGCGCTCCAGTTCCCCAGCAGGCCGCCACACCCTGCTCTTCCAGTCCCTTCCAGCGAAGACTGATCACGCGGCCAAGAACGAGACTCGCAAACTGGGCAAATCTCCCAGCCCTGCTGGAACAAGCAGGGAGACTCTGCGTGAGAGTGGGAAGGAGCCTGACAGGCAGGGCTTCGGCCCAATGGATCGTCTCTGCCTTCTTGTGCGGACCAATGAGGCCCGTGGGGCGGGACTTCCGCCTCGCCTTCGTGTTGTTCTCAGACTCGGGCTGTGGGGGTCGGTGCGGATATTCAATCATGAAGTCAGGCTAGGGTCTTCTTCCGCAGCAACGAGGCGGGCGAGCCTGTGTCCTGGGGCCCAGCCCTCCAGGTAAGAGCCTGTCAGGCTCCGCGGCGGCTGGGCAGGGGTTGTCCCCGGGGGGCCTGGCCCGGGAACACACCCCCCTTGCTGGCTCTGGAGCTCGCAGTCTGAGATCTGTGGTGCTCCTCTCCAGTGTAGAGCGGAGTGAATTAGGCTTTTTTTGCAAAAGAAGCAAAATGCCCTGCTCTCGGATGACCGAGTCTCCCCCACACCCGCATTCCGTCAGTCTGTATGTGACCGAAGTTGCCGAGTTATCTGTTTCGCTTCTCACTTTCTCATTTTGAGATGTCAGGAGTCTGGGAAGATGGTTTGTAAGCTTTCTCTTAGACCAGTACTTGCCTCAAAGTCCTCGGTTCAAGTCACTTGACTTTAGTTGTGGGGGTTGTTTTGTCTTTGGGGGTAAAAAACAGAGCAGTCGCTTCCTTCTTTCTTACCCCACCCCCTTTTTCTTCCTCTCAAAGCTCAGATTGCCTCCTGGGACGTGACCCTGCAGGGGGCCAGATACCAGGTCCCTGCCCTCCAAAAGTCAGCACCTCTGCCAGGAGGCTAACTGGGTTGACCTGCATTGATGAAAAAACTCAGTCCCAGGGAGAGAGTGGGCAGACACCAAGCGATGGTATTCTAGAAGCAATCACACAACTTTGGGGGCAGCCACTGCATGTTATCTGGGTGCTTTTGTAAATTCCTCTATTTCGTCCTAATCTAGCAGTAGTAAATTCCTGATACTATCTTTTCATCCTCAGTTTCAGCACCGAGGGCAGCTGCTGCAATCCTTTATTTTTGCCACAAACCTGCCTGGCTCTGCCAGTGATGCAGCAGGACTCGTGAAAACTAATGCATTGCTTTCAACCGTGATGTGTGGTTCTCCAAGGAGAATTTGTGCACTTTTTGATACAATGTAAAGTGAGTGCGCCTCCAAGGAGTTCCAGTAGAGAAGCAAATCAATTCAGGATTTAAGGAAGGACTTTCAAGGGTTTAATCTGTTTTAAGGGCAGTTTTTAATGGCTCGAGAGATAGCTCCTTGTTAAGGTAACAAAATTAGACTGTGGTGGTTAAAAAGGAGTTAAGTATGCTGTGCTGGGCTCTGTAGGGATTCATAAATGGATTTTGGAATCAACTTAGTGCATTGAGAAACATTAAAAAGAAAAACTATCAGGATGTATTTTTACTCATGGTGTAAAAATACATTTCATTTCATGAAGCTTTTGTATCAGGTTTTAAAAAATATATGTATCAAGAGGAAGATGTGAAGCTTATTATGTATTATGGCAAAGACAGATGTTTCAAAACACTAGATCCCAAATTTGAGAATCTGGCTAGGGTCAGCTGTGCCACTTAGGAATTCTGTAATCTTATCTGTAAGGGAAGAGTTGTGAAAATTAAACAAAATAAAATATGTTTGTTGCATAATTAAACCTCAAAGTTTTTTGTTTGTTGTTGGTTTCCAAGTGGTTGGACAGAAGCAGTCATTTCTGTGTAAAGAATGGCAACTTTGGTGTCATTGTCAACTCACAATTTCTGTGTAAGGAATGACAACATAAATATATGTAGCATTTATTTACTTCTCTAGTGTGAAGTCACCTTGATGTCTTCATGTGTAATGTAAATCATGTGGACAAAATCTTGATTTGGAAAGTTTAATACTGAAGGGTTTGGGATAAATTCTCATTTGTTCTTGTTATTTATTCCAAGCAGTTTGGAGAGCCCTAAATTTTTGCTACCATTCAGATTCTTTCCCTTGATATTTTCTGCATTCCAAAGTAACATAGTTTTTATCAGTTCTCAAGACATTTAATTTTACTTTCTTTTTTTTGTTATGGGGGATCCAACTCTGGACCTTGTGCTTGCGAGGCAGGCAGCAGAACCACTGGTCTAAATCCCTGGCCCTAAGACACTTAATTTTACTAGATGATTTTTTTTTTTTTCTTTTTGGTACTGGGGATCGAACTCGGGACCTTGTGCTTGTGAGGCAGGCGTCGGAACCACTGAGCTAAATCCCCAGCCCAAGACACTTAATTTTAGCAAAGTGAGGGTAGGACTAGAAATATGACTAAAGGGGTAGGTTTTTGTCTCTGAGTTAAGCTGGGTAGCAAGGCACTTTATGTTTGATAGTTCTTGCCATAGAGATGTATGAAGTGAATTTGGTTTTGTCAAATATTATGGTATGCATACTTCATGTTAGTGTGACCTAAAAATGGTTGGCTTTTAAATAAAAAGTACAATTTTGAACATTTTAAGATGTGGAAGGTACAATGAGTTTAAGTCAAAGTATTGTTTTGTACCTTTTGACATGTTATTACCATATGGTATTGCATAGTTTCACATGACATAAAAAGGGGAAGAAACTTGGTAAGCATTGTTAGTTTTCTCAAAAGGAAGGACACAGAATTAGTAGACAAGTGAATTTCTTTTAAGAAAGCATAGGGCCAGGGATTTAGCTCAGTGGTTCCGGTGCCTGCCTTGCAAGCGCAAGGTCCCAAGTTCAATCCCTAGTACCAAAAAAATAAAGAAAGCATGATAGTAAATCATAGTTTAAAAATTCATGTGTTCTGTAGGTATTGAGTGCATATAAAAGGATAGTGTTAAGCTTTTGAACAGCTTTTACACTGCATAAAATTGATTTGAGAACAATGACAGAATGATTGGTATTGTCAAAGTTTATCATAGCATATAAATAACAACAAAACATTGATAATAGCTAACATTATCATGATCCAAATACATTTCTAAGTACTTTATATTATCATAATTCTCGTAGTCATTAATGTGGTAGATGGTAAGGGATCTCACATACATAGCTTGCTGAGTTCTCACAGGTATTTAGTGGAGTAGTTGGAATTCAGACCTATGTACCTTAACTATATAAAGCCCATCCCTCTTCTGTCATATTTTACTTAAAAATACAGAGCACTGTTGGGCTATTTTGTATTCTTTACTTGCTGGGTCACGTTAATGACTTCGCCTGCTTGATTTTGGGTAAACACTTCCTCAATTGACTGTTTCCTCATAAGTGTTTGGAGATTAGAGTAATTTGTAAAGCACTACACGGAATATGTTCAGTACATGATATACCCTAGCCTTTATCTTTTCAGTGAGGAGGTGGCCATTTGAAAAACTGTTAGCAAATGGAAGATAGAAGAAGAAAGTTCCACATAAGAACAGTGCCCAAGCAAAGGTATAGAAAGGTACAGAAAACAAAGGTAAGAAAAGCAGAGTACATTTGCCAAGGTTATGTTTCAGGAACAGGCTGGTAAAGATAAATGGATACAGATTATGGGGAAATTTAATTGCCATACAGAGTATTTTGTATAAGATTTTTAGTTGAGAAGAACCTCTTTTTATGAATGTTAACCTATGAACAAAAGTTCAGTGAAGAAGTAAAAGCCCGGAGGTAGGAATTCTATGGAGTTTAGTTACAACAGTTGAGACAAGATGTGATGATTGTAATGAAGGATACAGATTACATTGATAGTGACACTGGGAACTGACATGAGTATGGGCTTAAGACAAATTTTTTGGAGGATAAAGATGCTCTTAACAGAAGTATGAATACATGATGAACAGATTTTGGTGGAAGGGGATTTAGGAGATGAGAGAATGAGAGGAAATTTAGTTTTGGAGTTATTCAGATGTTCACCAGGGTAAAATGAAAAATGGAAGCTCTGGCTATTCTATCAAAAGGGAAGAGACCATCTGCTCACACTGTGAGGAAATGGTCTACAGTAGTCATGCCCCTGTGACTCCTGAAATTTCTCAAAACTGAAAATCCTTTAATAAGGACGCACTATTATTTTTCCCGATAGTATATTTTGTACTGAGGGAACCAGTACAATAGGGCACCATATGAGGGAATAGGGGATATGTGGGATGATAGTGGGAAGGGAAAATTGTGTAAACCTACAAGGCTCCCAATTATTATTTCAGAAGAGAAATGGTAAATTGGAGGCTAGACATATTTACTTTTTTTTTTTTTTTGCGGGGGGTCTGGGCGGGTACCAGGGATCGAACTCAGGACCTTGTACTTGCGAGGCAGGCATGGCACCACTGAACTAAACCCCCAGTCTCAGATTTATTTTTTTATCTCCTGTTCATTACCCTGAATTGATTAATAGCAAAACTTTTAAAATCAAACTGTGTGAGATTGTTATGGTGGTGACATTGTGGGGGTACACACCAGGAAAGACTGTATTCCCGTTATAGCCAAGACTGGGATAAAAGGAGAAGGTACATGGTTTGGTGGGAAGAGTAGAGATTCTTTTGTCAAATGATGATGATACCAATTTTGAGAGTTGTTTTGAAAGTTATAATTAATATATGAAAAAAATTCCAGGAATGGGGTAGCTAGTAATTGAAATGTTTTTATTATCATCATTATCTTAACAAATGGGTACGAACACAGGATCCTAGGACCTATGGTAAGAAAGAAAGAAAAACAGCTGGAGACCCCTGATACTTGAAAAAGGGCTCAGGACTAAGGAGAAGAAAAGCCTGTAGCCTTCTTTTTTTGCTAGATTTTTTAGGGCTTTATGTAATTGGATAGGACCTGATATTAAATTAAACAGCAAAATCTACCCATTTCTGAGTTATTTTTATTTCTTTGTCATGTTAGGCCTAAATAACTGGCCAGTCAAACAAAATACTGTGTTGAACAACAAGGAAATGTCTATGTATTCTGTAATACTACAATTGGAGATATTACTTGGATCCTACTACTTATGTGTATTTCTATAGCATTAATTTACCAACAAATATTTATTAAGTCCTTTCCCTGTTGGGGCACTGTTCTAGGCACTTAATGGTACATCAGTGAACTGAAGAGACACTGGAGTTTAGAGGAAGAAATAAGGCATGTTTTCATTGTAGAAAGTAATTAGATATTCTTGTTCTATTATTTAGAAAGTCATACTAAGCAGTTACTAAGAGCAGATACCAGATTGTGACTAATTGTGTAGAGCACTTGGAAGGAAGGGACTATGGCTTTCTTATTCATATTTATCTCCTCCTCTCCCCCTTCCTCTCAGTGGAATGGCTTATTTTTGCATACTGCCATTCAGTATAATAGGTTGAATGTTATATTGTTCTGATATCTTCAGATTTATTTTTATTTCCTCTTTATCACCCCAAATTGATGAATAGGAAAACCTTCAAAATCATTTGCTCAGTAACTGTAGATACACATTAAATGTTTATGATGCAGAGGACAGAGTTATGTTATTCCAAGGGCTAGATCTTGAAGGATTCTGTTTAACTGCAGCAAGTGTTTAGGATCCATGTACTCACTAAATTGAGGGTAGAGAAAAAGTGAAGGGTGCTATGAACTGCATTATTTGGTAGTCTATGAAGTTGGAATGGAAATAAGGTTATATTGTTGTCCAGAGCATTAATATTAGGGAATCTGGGTGTTACCCAACCTGCCTATTACTAAACTAGGTTACTTTGCATAAATAACTTCACCTCTTTGTGTTCATTTCCTCATCTGTAAATGAGGTGGTTAGAGTTTTCCAATTAAAAAAAAATCCACTTTTAAGATTACTCATAAAATAACTGTTATACTAAGGTTTCACTTAGGAATATACAGTAGAGCTGATTATGAACTTCTATTGAATAAGCATTAAGTTAACTTTACACTTTTAGTTATTAAACTTAGATGTTTAAAAAGCACACAAAATTAGAGTTATGCTTGATGCTATTTACTTATAAGACTGCTTTGTAATTTTTTTTTCTTCCCGGTACTAGGGATTGAACCCAGAGCCTTAGCACTGAGCCACATTCCCAGCCCTTTTTATTTATTTATTTTGGGGTAGGGTCTTGCTAAGTTACCCTGACTGGGCTCCAATTTACAATCTTCTAACCTCAGCCTTCCAGAGTGCTGGAATTATAGGGATAATTTTTTTAATAGGAAAAAATTTTAAAAACAGAGCAAAATATGTAGTTTCATTCTTTCCGTTAGGTAGTGGAAAAATAAAACATAGTATTTTAGGTGTGAGCAGTGAATAGTTAGTTATTCATACTTCCGTGTACACCACAGTCATTTATCTCTTACTATTTTACTAGCAGCTAGTTATACAAATTAGGAAATGTATTTGCTCATTAATATAAGAGAACTTCTGGTCAGCCACAAAAATTTTATTTTAAGGAGTTAGAAATTTGGTGACATTTAACTGATTGAGTGTGACTATAGTCAGGTTCAGTTGCAAATGATCAAGATACTCAGTTAAATTTTACAGAGGAAATGAGTTTTCACTGGGAAATAATCCCAGTAGGAACTGGTGATAGAAGAATATTTTTGAGTGAAGTTATCAGAGAGAAAGTAGGAGTTGAACTTCTTTACTTAGATATAAAACACTAAAAATTGAGGACTAATTTATCTAAATCACGTTTTTGTAATTCACACATTTTTGTAATTTACATTTTTGATCTTTAGAAAGGAGGAATTTTGTAATTTATGCATTTGTCCAACATAAATTATAGGGCCGGGGATTTAGCTTAGGGATTCTGTCACCCACCTCACAAGTGCAAGTTCCTGAGTTCGATCCCCAGTACCACCAAAAAAAAAAAAAAAAAAAAATCCCCAACATAAATTTTAAATATTTCTTTTTTTTGAAAAAAATTTTTTGAGTTGAATTCACATAACATAAAAGTAACCATTTAAAGTAAATAATTCAGCAGCATTTAGTACATTCTCAGTGTTGTGCAGCTACCACTCCTGTCTAGTTTCAAAATATTTTTATCACTCTCAAATAAAATCTCATACCCATTAAGCAGTTACTGTTCATTCCCCAATGCCAGCAGTCATATCAGTCACTTATCTGCTGTTTCTATGGATTTATTTATTCTGGGTATTTCATATAAATGGAATGGTACAGGATATGGCCTTTACTGCCTGGCTTCTTTCATTTAGCAAAATGTTTTCAGGGTTCACTCATGTTGTAGTGGGTATCAGTGCTTCTTTCCCTTTTATAGCTAAATAATACTACAATAGGTATACTGTTTGTTTATTCATTCATCCATTAATGGATGTTTAGGTTGTTTCCACCATTTAGCTATTGTGAATGGCATTGCTATAAACATTCTTGCACGATAATTTGAGTACCTGTTATGATTTGGGTCTAGATGTCCCTCCAGAAGCCTCATGTGGTCATATAGCCTTGATCTAGAGTGTGTGAAGGTGAAATTGATTCATGATGCAATGCTAGGCTCAAGGTGCTAGGATTAAGGATGTGACTGCTACCCCCCCTAAGTAGTCTGAATAAGATAAAAGGGGCAGGGAGATGCTGTGAAGGTTCTCTTGTTAACTTTGCTACCTTGTGCTCCGCTGGTGGCTGTGTTTCTCCTCTGTGATGCCTGTTTGCCATCCCACCCTTGGAGCCAGCTGATTATGGACCAAAACCTCTAGGAACTGTAAGCCAGAAAAACCCCTTCCCCTCCAACTTTGGGTGTTGAGTATTTTGTCTCAGCAACAATAGAAAAGTAACTAACACAGTGCCTGTTTTCAGTTATTTTGGGTATATAGCAAAGTAGAATTGCTGAGTTTTAAGATACTCTATTTTAGGATTTTGAGAACCTGCCAAGCTACTTTCCACAGGGGCTAACCCATTTTATATTCACTAGGCAATGTGTGAGGGTTTTAATTTCCTCACATCTTTGGTAACACTCATTATTTTCTATTTTTTTTTTTCTGGTACCGGAGATCGAACTCGGGACCTTGTGCTTGCGAGGCAGGCGGCAGAACCACTGAGCTAAATCCCCAGCCCCTATTTTCTATTTTTTAAAAAAAATTATTATTTCCATCCTTGTAGCTATGAAGTGATATCTCTCTGGTTTTGATTTGTATTTCTCTGTCAACTGATGATAGTCTTTACTTGCCGGTTACTTGTATATCTTTCTTGAGAAGATAGCTATCCAAGTTCTTTGCCCCTTCTTAAAATTGTGTGGCTTGTCTTTTTGTTATTGAGTCATAAGTGTTTTTATGTACTTTAGATGCTAGAGCCTTAGCAGATATTTGTGTTTTCTATCATTTTTATTAATTTTTTTAACCTTCTTAGGATGTTTATTTATTTATTTATTATTTTTTTCCGCTACCAAGGATTGAACTCAGGACCCTTTGCTTGCAAGGCAGGAGTGGGCGGCACCACTGAGCTACATCCCCAGCCCTTTTACCTTCTTGTTAATGTCTTTTTTTAAATTTTTGTACCAGGGA